ACTTAAAAATTGTCCCAACCCATTATTTTCAGGCTGGCGGGTATGGAAATCTTTAAATCGATTTATCTCCGTAAATATGGCTCTAATCGAGATTTGGAGCGTTTTTAGGTTTCAAAAATAAAATTGTCCCAACCCATTATTTTCAGGCTAACGGATATGAAAATCTTTAAATCGATTTATCTCCGTAAATATGGCTCTAATCGAGATTTGGAGCGTTTTAGGTGTCAAAAAATATTTTGGTAAAAAAAATTGTCCCAACCCATTATTTTCAGGCTGGCGGGTATAGAAATCTTTAAATCGATTTATCTCCGTAAATATGGCTCTAATCGAGATTTGGAGCGTTTTTAGGTGTCAAAAAATATTTTGGTAAAATAAATTGTCCCAACCCATTATTTTCAGGCTGGCGGGTAGGGAAATCTTTAAATCGATTTATCTCCGTAAATATGGCTCTAATCGAGATTTGGAGCGTTTTTAGGTGTCAAAAAAAAATTGGTAAAAAATTGTCCCAACCTATTATTTTCAGGCTGGCGGGTATGGAAATCTTTAAATCGATTTATCTCCGTAAATATGGCTCTAATCGAGATTTGGAGCGTTCCTAGGTGTCAAAAAATGTTTTGGTAAAAAAATTGTCCCAACCCATTATTTTCAGGCTGGCGGTTAGGGAAATCTTTAAATCGATTTATCTCCTTAAATATGGCTCTAATCGAGATTTGGAGCGTTTTTAGGTGTCAAAAAATATTTTGGTAAATAAATTGTCCCAACCCATTATTTTCAGGCTGGCGGGTATGGAAATCTTTAAATCGATTTATCTCCGTAAATATGGCTCTAATCGAGATTTGGAGCGTTTTTAGGTGTAAAAAAAAAATTGTTAAAAAAATTGTCCCAACCCATTATTTTCAGCCTGGCGGGTATGGAAATCTTTAAATCGATTTATCTCCGTAAATATGGCTCTAATCGAGATTTGGAGCGTTCTTAGGTGTCAAAAAATGTTTTGGTAAAAAAATTGTCCCAACCCATTATTTTCAGGCTGGCGGTTAGGGAAATCTTTAAATCGATTTATCTCCTTAAATATGGCTCTAATCGAGATTTGGAGCGTTTTTAGGTGTCAAAAAATGTTTTGGTAAAAAAATTGTCCCAACCCATTATTTTCAGGCTGGCGGTTAGGGAAATCTTTAAATCGATTTATCTCCGTAAATATGGCTCTAATCGAGATTTGGAGCGTTTTTAGGTGTCAAAAAATGTTTAGGTAAATAAATTGTCCCAACCCATTATTTTCAGGCTGGCGGGTATAGAAATCTTTAAATCGATTTATCTCCGTAAATATGGCTCTAATCGAGATTTGGAGCGTTTTTAGGTGTCAAAAAATATTTTGGTAAAATAAATTGTCCCAACCCATTATTTTCAGGCTGGCGGGTAGGGAAATCTTTAAATCGATTTATCTCCGTAAATATGGCTCTAATCGAGATTTGGAGCGTTTTTAGGTGTCAAAAAATGTTTTGGTAAAAAAATTGTCCCAACCCATTATTTTCAGGCTGGCGGGTATAGAAATCTTTAAATCGATTTATCTCCGTAAATATGGCTCTAATCGAGATTTGGAGCGTTTTTAGGTGTCAAAAAATATTTTGGTAAAATAAATTGTCCCAACCCATTATTTTCAGGCTGGCGGGTAGGGAAATCTTTAAATCGATTTATCTCCGTAAATATGGCTCTAATCGAGATTTGGAGCGTTTTTAGGTGTCAAAAAAAAATTGGTAAAAAATTGTCCCAACCCATTATTTTCAGGCTGGCGGGTATGGAAATCTTTAAATCGATTTATCTCCGTAAATATGGCTCTAATCGAGATTTGGAGCGTTCTTAGGTGTCAAAAAATGTTTTGGTAAAAAAATTGTCCCAACCCATTATTTTCAGGCTGGCGGTTAGGGAAATCTTTAAATCGATTTATCTCCTTAAATATGGCTCTAATCGAGATTTGGAGCGTTTTTAGGTGTCAAAAAATGTTTTGGTAAATAAATTGTCCCAACCCATTATTTTCAGGCTGGCGGGTATGGAAATCTTTAAATCGATTTATCTCCGTAAATATGGCTCTAATCGAGATTTGGAGCGTTTTTAGGTGTAAAAAAAAAAATTGTTAAAAAAATTGTCCCAACCCATTATTTTCAGCCTGGCGGGTATGGAAATCTTTAAATCGATTTATCTCCGTAAATATGGCTCTAATCGAGATTTGGAGCGTTCTTAGGTGTCAAAAAATGTTTTGGTAAAAAAATTGTCCCAACCCATTATTTTCAGGCTGGCGGGTATGGAAATCTTTAAATCGATTTATCTCCGTAAATATGGCTCTAATCGAGATTTGGAGCGTTTTTAGGTGTCAAAAAAAAATTGGTAAAAAATTGTCCCAACCCATTATTTTCAGGCTGGCGGGTATGGAAATCTTTAAATCGATTTATCTCCGTAAATATGGCTCTAATCGAGATTTGGAGCGTTCTTAGGTGTCAAAAAATGTTTTGGTAAAAAAATTGTCCCAACCCATTATTTTCAGGCTGGCGGTTAGGGAAATCTTTAAATCGATTTATCTCCTTAAATATGGCTCTAATCGAGATTTGGAGCGTTTTTAGGTGTCAAAAAATGTTTTGGTAAATAAATTGTCCCAACCCATTATTTTCAGGCTGGCGGGTATGGAAATCTTTAAATCGATTTATCTCCGTAAATATGGCTCTAATCGAGATTTGGAGCGTTTTTAGGTGTAAAAAAAAAATTGTTAAAAAAATTGTCCCAACCCATTATTTTCAGCCTGGCGGGTATGGAAATCTTTAAATCGATTTATCTCCGTAAATATGGCTCTAATCGAGATTTGGAGCGTTCTTAGGTGTCAAAAAATGTTTTGGTAAAAAAATTGTCCCAACCCATTATTTTCAGGCTGGCGGGTATGGAAATCTTTAAATCGATTTATCTCCGTAAATATGGCTCTAATCGAGATTTGGAGCGTTCTTAGGTGTCAAAAAATGTTTTGGTAAAAAAATTGTCCCAACCCATTATTTTCAGGCTGGCGGTTAGGGAAATCTTTAAATCGATTTATCTCCTTAAATATGGCTCTAATCGAGATTTGGAGCGTCTTTAGGTGTCAAAAAATGTTTTGGTAAAAAAATTGTCCCAACCCATTATTTTCAGGCTGGCGGTTAGGGAAATCTTTAAATCGATTTATCTCCTTAAATATGGCTCTAATCGAGATTTGGAGCGTTTTTAGGTGTCAAAAAATGTTTTGGTAAATAAATTGTCCCAACCCATTATTTTCAGGCTGGCGGGTATGGAAATCTTTAAATCGATTTATCTCCGTTAATATGGCTCTAATCGAAATTTGGAGCGTTTTCAGGTGCCAAAAAAAGTTTTGGTAAAAAAAATTGTCCCAACCCATTATTTTCAGGCTGGCGGGTATGGAAATCTTTAAATCGATTTATCTCCGTAAATATGGCTCTAATCGAGGTTTGGAGCGTTTTTAGGTGTCAAAAAAAATTTTTTTTTAAAAAAATTGTCCCAATCCATTATTTTCAGGCAGGTGGGTATGGAAATCTTTAAATCGATTTATCTCCGTAAATATGGCTCTAATCGAGATTTGGAGCGTTTTTAGGTGTCAAAATTTTTTTTTAATATAGAAATCTTTAAACCGATTTGTTTCCGTAAATACGGCTCTAATCGTTTCTTGCCTTGGCGCGTTGGACGTTACTTTTTGATGTTCTCAGGTTTTTGGCCAAAGGCACTTTTCTTATTGACGACAGCTTGGTGATCTTCTGGTCCACTTTTCGGTCCACTGGTCCTGGTTTACGGCTGGATTTTGATGTGTACTCGAAGGTAACTTCTTCATCGAACTTCCGGATGGTAATTTGGACTGCTCCGATACTTACTTCCTGCATTTTTGTCAACTTCCTTACTGATAGGTTGGGAAAAGTGCACCATTTGTGCACGATCTGTTTGCGCTTTGCCGGGGAAACTTGTTGAGCAATAAGTAAACAACAACACATATCGATGAACAGCTGATAAACTTCATCAGGGTAGAAATGGCGGTGAGTTGAAAGTGTGCTAATACTTTCTGGGACACCCTATAAAATTCTGAGACCCATCGGCCCAAACCTTCCCGATATTAAAATAAATCGCTCGATGCTTTTATCGATTTAATTTAATTATCAGAAATGCTAAGATGGAAATCAATAGTTTGATATTGGTAAATCAATTTGGATTATCTCAAAATATTTTCAAGTTCAGATAAATTTAGCAAATATCAAATTTGTCATAGATTGAGAAACGGTGATGATCCAATGCGCAATTTCTTAAAAATCAACACGTTCTAGTCATTACGCCATTATTGTTGCCACGCTGTCTATCGGCGGCCCTGTAACTCGTTTTGGTAGGTAGAGTTAATAAAGTGAGTCCAATCCTCGCTGTCTTCCGCAAAAAAGGCACATCAAAGCATAACAATTGTTATTTCAATGGAGTGCTTCTGAATTGAGTTGAGTGATCTTCTTTTAATTCCATTAAAATTGGTTATCTTTTGACAGCTAATTTGTCCACTGGGACTGAAAGACTTCCTCAGTACCATATACGTATGGCATTGAAACTACTTTTGGATGACAACAATAAAATCCAAAATTGAATACGATATTGATCCTGTAAGGCAGAGTATTATCATCACGGAAGTCATTTTCAAACATTCATAATTTGAAAAGCATACGAAAATGTCTCTGTGGGCCTTGACTTGAACCATCGAATAAAATACACGGTTGACTTGCATCACTCTCTCACACAGTTGACTTGCATCACTCATCGCACAGCGCTCAACTCGAGATTACAAGCATCCACGACGACCGACCGGTATGTAAACGACCATGACAGAGTGCGCGCCGCCAGATAGAAAAGCTTCGGTTGACAACTGACAAGTGCGGACTTATCAATTCAAAGTAATAAATCTCCCGCTTCGTCAACTGGGTGGCCCAGTCAGTTGCAAACGAAAAATCACCAAGTCGAGATGTGTTACTTGAAGGAAGGCCGCCGTGACTTTACGCTGCTCAAGTCCGACAGTACGATACAGGAAATTTTGGACGAGATCCTTAAATCACCAGCACGGGAGGATCCATTCCATGTTCTCGATCTGGACGATGTTGTCCAAAAGCATCATAACTGGCTAGAGCTGTTGCCCAGGGTGAAACCGTTCTACGCGGTCAAGTGCAACGATGATCCGTTTATCCTGGAAACCCTGGCCTGCTTGGGAACAGGGTTCGACTGTGCTTCGAAGGCCGAAATTCGGAAGATCCTGGAGATGGGAGTGGAACCGGAGCGGATTATCTATGCTCACCCCGTCAAGTCGAAGGAGTCGTTGCAGTTCGCCCAAGAGAAACGGGTTACCAAGATGACATTCGACAGCGAGTTGGAACTGGAGAAGATCGCTAACTACTATCCGGGTGCGGAATTGGTGCTGAGGTTTCGACACGATTCGGCGAAGGTGCTGATCTCACTGGGCAAGAAGTTTGGATGTGATGCCCATGTGGATGGTTTGGAACTGATTCGCAAAGCGAAAGATCTGAATTTGAACGTAATCGGCGTGAGTTTCCACGTCGGTTGCGGCAGCAAGGACGCGGACTGCTATTACGACGCAATTAAATCTGCGAAATCGCTGTTTGAATTTGCATCCTCCGTCGGTTACCGATTTTCGTTGATAGACATTGGGGGAGGTTTTCCGGGCGATACGGATAAATCAATCGATGGGTATACAGAAGTTATCAACCGTGCTTTGGATGAGTTCTTTCCGGGGCTCAACGGTGTTGAGGTTATTGCGGAACCGGGAAGGTATTATGCCGGATCCGCCGTGAGGCTGTTCACTACAATCCACGGTAAGAAGTTTGTTAAGAATTCGGATGCTGAATCCCAGGTGATGTACTACATCAACGATGGAGTGTTCGGAACGTTGTTCGATTGGGTGAGTTTGCGAGCGGTTCATGACTTGGCTCGGGTGATTCCCACCATTACGAAAGCGAAGCTTGGAAAGCCTCTGCTCAGAACCACCATCTGGGGTCCAACTTGCGACTCGACGGATATCGTTTGTGAGGACGTCGATTTTCCGGAGCATGATATCGGAGAGTACATGTTGTTTGAGAACATTGGCGCGTACGGGATAACCTTCGCCACCAGTTTCAACGGGTTTCCAAGTCCAACCATCAGAGTGTACGTGAAGGAGAAGACATGGTTAGTGGAATTTAATGACTTAAACATTTTAAAGATTTGCAATGAAAACAATAAATCTGTTTTTTTTAGGACTGGCTTATCGGACTTGAAACTCATGAGTGGGCTGGACAAAACAATCGACATTTTACGATCACGCTTTCAATAATAATAATATTAAAAAAATCTATCGCATTTTGATTGCATGCATACCCGAATAAGAATATATATTTTAACTCATGGCATAAATTATAATTATATTATATGTAAATACTATACTTGGTTAGAAGCTTTATTGTTACACTTGTGCTCTAATAAATTGATAATAAATTCAATTGAAACATTTCAACCTATAGTTATTCTAAAAATGTAATGTCGATTTAAGGTGATATGATCCAGCGTTCACAAATCATAGGCACTTGCACTGCCACTTAGAGTTTTCTAGGGAGTTAATCTCGGACACCATTGCGATTTCGGGTATGAAATTTGCATCATCATATTTGCGACACAGCAAACAAGGGGTAGCAAAATTTTCAAAATGGCGTCTTTAGGTTTTAAAAAAAATGTAGCACGGAAATGGCATTTCTGATAGAAATGACGAATCGGAGAATCCTCTATGAACAATTTTCTACATTATATTCATTGTAGTAATAGCAATATTATGTCGAAATGATATTTCGCACAAAGTGCATGCATTATTGAGCATTCTCCATACATTCTCGAGTCAGTTTTCCACTAGCCCATACGATTTAAGGTGCTCGCCCTCTGGAGCTAAGTGCTGCCAGAGGCAGTATGAAGCACTCCATTCAGAAGCCTTGGACATATTGAGTTATAGAATTAAAATAACACTGACGTAGAACATCGACCAAAGGAGGCATCGACTTGTAGAAATATCGAATTATGCTTGGAATTATGAAGAGTAAAATTCAGGGAAAAATGAAGATACCACCGAATTCATCGAGTTATAGAATGTCAAGTTGTTGAGAGTTGACTGCCCTTGCCCGATAAAAAAAAAGCTGAAGTCGGTAACATTGGTGCACGGAAAACCAATCAAGGAAAAATTAATAAAAAAAAAAAAAATAAAAATCGACCAAGGACATTTTGACCTACTTAGGTTTATAACATTTTTCTTGAGTTTAGTAAAAACATTTATTTGTATGTTTTTCGCTGATTTTTTTTCTTTCGTCCATAACAAACAATCATGCAAAGTTTCATGCAAATCGAAGAAGGTTTAGTTTTTCCAATTCGTCATTTGGCATCGAACTGCTCGATTGGAAAAATTTGCAATTTTGTTTTAATCGGGTACCCACTTTATCGCTTTCTCGTGGAATGAAAAATAGTAGAAGTGAAAGTCCCCGCCTCCTGTGTGTGTTTGTAAGTTGTTGTTACTGTCAGCGATTCAGTCGGAATATTTTCCTTTGTGACTCATTCGGGAAGATTACGGTTCAGTGATCTTGGCATTTCATTTAATTGACACAATTCACAATTCTCCTAATTGACGCATAGCTTATTTTAAAGAGAGGGAATGTGAAGTTAGAAAAATGCGCTTGCTCAACTTTGCTGAACACGTCATCACTCTAAATCCACGTTTCCATGATGTTATTATTTAAAAAACGTGAGAATAGACTTTTAAACAACTGTGCATAGGCCACAACCGGATTTCCCTAATAAAAAAATACCATAAACGAACGATAACCCAAATAATATAACTATTCCATAAATGGTTTGGATGATACCCCGAACACGTCGTTAAGTAAAATAACCATAACAATTGTATTAGGGTTGTTCCAGATGCTTTCGGAGAAATGGCGAGTTTCTGACTTTGACAATATTCTCAAATATGAGGGTTCAAAAACAAACTTACCATAGTCAAACCAAGCACATCCGAAAATGTTCCCTAGGGAGGTGGACAGATTCTGGTATGAGCGAAATACCTACCATCAAGCGACACATCAAATCACATGAGAATTTGAAAACATGTTTAATGGTAGTTGTACGGTATCGGATACCCTCCGCATAGAGATACGAGCCGCTCACTATCAATCATGCACATAACCCTGCGCACTCCTCAACAGGCGCGACGGGTGACAACGAGGACACGCAGCAATCGTCTCTCGTCCTCTTAGCCCTCGGACCACGACCGCGTCGGACGCATAGGTAAGCTCTCAGTGGAACTCCCACAACGGACACCAAACCACACCCTGGACCAATCGGACTTTCCCCCGGAAGGTCGAACTCCACATTGGCGATCCGGTCAGGAGGATTACTAGCCAGAAAACTGGATATTATTTTTTTCTCTTGATTGAAACATGGATGTGTCTCGCAGACCATCGGAGAATCGACATAACCTAGAAATGCAATGGCGTGTCTAGAAGACCGCCAGAATATTGGTGTCAGTGATTTGTGTCCTACAATGGTCCATGGTGCGTCTGGAAGACCACCGGAATGTTGCTTACAAATGCTTTGTTACATAAAATGGTCCAAGGTGCGTCTAGAAGACCACCGGTTTGATGCTCATAAATGGTTTGTGGCCATTGATGGCCAAAGGTGCGTCTGGAAGACCACCGAAACAATAGTCGGAAATTAATTATGGTGAGTCTGGTAGACCACCGGAACATTGATCAAAAGTAGATCATTGTGTATCAAGAAGACTTGACTTTCTTGACCGAGAAAGAGCTCCGAGAAGAAACGGCAACGAATACGACACTTCAGAATGTTATCGACGCGCTGGAAACGCATGCCTGGCCAGGAGAGCTAAAACGATTTGAGAATGTATCTAACAACTTATCGGTACAGGACGGGATTCTGTTTAAGAACGGATGCGCCATAATTCCAAGCAAGCTCCGCGAGAAAGCCTTTAATCTGGCCCATGATCGCCATCCAATGGTCGCCAAACAAAAAAGCATTCTACGGGAACGCGTATGGTGGCCTGGTTTGGCTACCGACACAGAAGAATGGGTCAAATCCTGTCAAACTTGCGCAATTAATGGTCGACCAGAAAATCCAACACCGATGAAGAGGATTTTCGCTTGCCCTGGTTTCGTTTGTTTTTCGAGCTTTGGGAAAAAGCTGGCTCTCACGACGGGATGTTTGTCGCTGATCAACGACAAGTACATCGGATGGGTTGTGAGAAACTTCCACAGCTTGCTCTCCTGCATCGTATGCTTCAACTCTCGTACCTGCTTACACGACATAGGTCGCGTCGTGTCCGTATGTCCTAGCAACCATGGCTAGCTTCCGGTTTTCCATGCCTTTCAGCAGCTGAGTGAGAATAAAACGCGCTTGATCGACCATGCTGTAACCACAGAGTCGCACTTTCTGGGTCAGTCTGGCATGGAACGTAACGATTGATTCGCCTTTCATTTGACGCATTGCTTGGAAGGCTTCATGCTCAAACACAAAAATGAATAGTTTTCTGAGGATTATTTATGTACATCAAATCAAACAGAGTGATGTCCTTTTTAATGTAGGAGGGGGATGTGCGGTATCGGATACCCTCCTCATAGAGATGCGAGCCGCTCACTTTCAATCATGCATATAACCCTGCGCACTCCTCAACAGGCGCGACGGGTGACAACGAGAACACGCAGCAATCGTCTCTCGTCCTCTTAGCCCTCGGACTACGACCGCGTACGGACGCATATGTAAGCTCTCAGTGGAACTCCCACAACGGACACTAAACCACACCCTGGAACAAACGGGTTTTTCTCCGGAAGGCCGAACTCCACAGTAGTCATTTCGGATGCCCACATTGAGCAGTGGTCCAGGATGGGAATTTAGCAGTCCAAGAACTTTTGTTTTAATATTTACACGTTTGGTGATTTCGGTGAAGTTTACGTGTCTAAAAAGTTCCTTCTTCTGGTGGTTGTAAACATTGGGGCGCTCCTCAAATTAATCGATATTCAAAAACTAACTTTCCAAGGAAATTCTTGAGCGATTCTTAAAATATCCTGTGGAATGCTCCAAGTTGATTCGAACATACACTGAAAATAAAATTTCGTTTATACTACGAAAACGTTCGTTTGTGCCACGAATTCATTCGTTGCTATCTGCAACGAAATATATTCGTACTATGTATGAAGCGAGATTCGTTTAATGTACCAACCTAATTGATTTCGTAGCATTCTTGCATTTTACGAATCGCTACGAATTATTCGTATGTAAAAATGCCAATGACGAAGAAAAGTACGAATAATTAGTAGACCTATAAGACAGCATTCATACATTGTACGATAAATAATACACACTTACGAAAGTTTCGTTGAAAAGTAAGAGTGACTTTCTAGCATTTGTTGTATGTACGAAAAAGTTAGTACATTCGCATCTGCCCAACAATCAATGCCAGCAGAAACAACAATAATATGAATATCACCTGGGAGGACAACAGCAGAGTACTGGTGGAACAAACAATCATCATCAAATATACAAAAAACAAACAATCATTACAATTTTACTTCTTTATTTGTCGCACTAAATATCACTCAGCGCAAACAAACCCGCTAATACGCATTGTACAACCATTTTTAATTCATATTCGGGGCACCATCACTCAGCACGTCTTTAATTCCGTGGGTTGTTTTGTCACTGGATTTCCGCTAACGCTGATTAATTAGGAACAAATCCATTGGGTAATTTCGTTTCGTAACTTGCATCCATCCAACGTGGGCAGCACAAACATCGATGCACACAGTTTAATTCTGCGATGAAGGAATTTAAAATAAAATTCAACAGGATTAGCTGCAAACCGGCTTCCATACGGGAACCACATCCTGCAAATTATCAATTGGATTATTAGTATCATCAACACATAACACCACAACACATTAATGTACTTACCGTTTTTAATATTTAGCTGTCTCATGATGATGATCGAGTTCTTCTAGCTGCCCAGGAACTAAATTGTATGCTATAAACTGATTTGCACTGACGACCAAAAGGTAGTTTTAATATCCGTACGAAATTCAGTTCGTGTATTCTACGAATTAAGTGTAATGTTGAAATTTTATCTGATGACATGCAATAGGAATGTTTCGCAGATCAAACGAAATAATTGTTTTATCTACGAAACCCGTTTTTACGAAATGAGCAAAAGAGAAATTACGAATAAAAAATTTCAGTGTAGACATTTTTTTAAGATCTCAAATAAAAAGAAAATTTTGAGACTTTCTTGTTTTTTTTTTTTTTTTAATATAATAACTCATGCTTCGAAAAGC